ATAGATTTCTTTCATTGCTGTGAGAGTGAGTGACTGTCGAGTGTGATACATGATACCACACTGTTTATTGACTTTACTGTGAATGGCTTGTATGTGGTTTCTCCAGTTAAGTTTCTCATCTACAATAACTCCGAGGAATTTAGTATTTTGTTCGTGTTTGAGGACTGTACAAGGTACAGGGGGTCCAAGTCTAGGGGTAAGTTTTTCCTTCTGTGAAAGATCGTGTAGTGGGTTTTTTCGAGGTTTAAGGTCAGTTTATTACGTATTACCAGGATAAACATTAATTATGTGTATGAGTGTAGAGGAGTGCAGCGTCTGGCTAACACTTAAGTTATGGTTGGCGGGATATATTTAGCTGCGTGCTGGGGCGACCACCGCCTCTCTCAACACACATTCTGAATTATAAATAGATTCTACTTACGCCTTGGCACACATCTTATATATATATATATATATATATATATATATATATATATATATATATATATATATATATATATATAAATAACAAAAAACATGAAGGAATTATCAGTTCCTAGTTAAAATCTACGAAATTTGACTTAAGAAATCAACCAGGTTTTCTTTAAATGTTTGACAGAAAATGGTAACAAGTCAACAGTTTAGGGAGTGACTATAGAATTAAGTAATGGCTGCTGTTATTAATAAATGCCTTAGAGTAGAGATACACGTTACCACATTGGTGTTAATGGCTTGTTCCCACTAATAATATTACACTAAAGAAAAAAAAGAGTACATAGCATATCTATAGATATATTTACAGTGCGTCTGAATATTCACACGGATGCAAGCTATAATGATTGATTATTATAATGAGAGGAGGAGTTTTGACGTGAAATTGTTTACATCAAGTGTGTGTGTGTGTGTGTGTTTACGGATACAGATCACAGTAGCCTAAGTGATTGACGTGTAGTAGAGTGTGTTAGTCTGGCGTGACGCACCTCAGTCAACACATAAACACAGGATAATGGGCGGGGCGCGATCAAGTGACTCAAGATTCCTCCCTGTACTTATTTTTCTGAGTGTGTGATTGGTCAGATTACGTCACGTGATTATGTGTATCCCATGACGTCATTGTTCATATATGAATAAATGTCTGTATGCGTGGTGGAGACGGCGTCAGTCGTACTGAGCTGCTATTATGAAGGAAACATCACTTGTGCTCGTGATGTTGTTTGTAGCTTATTAACCTTTACGGGTCACCACCGATAGTCTGTCTTTCTTACACTAGTTGTATGAAAGAGTTGTTGTTGTGGTGTGGGGTGAGTTGTAATGTACAGAATAGATATGAATTATGTGGACATCCTGTGTAATGTATTGCACTGTGGGTGACCTAATTGAGGTGTATAAGCATCTCAAGGGGCACTACTCAGTCGAGTGTCCTTACTTGGAGCTGGCGGACGCTCGCCCCACAAGGGGTCACAGCTCAAGATTGAAGAAGCCGCAAGTCCAGAAAACTGTGAGGGCAAACTTTTTCGCAGTGAGAGTTGTGAACTCTTGGAACAATCTACCAGAAAGTGGGACGGCACCGAGTGTGAGCTCTTTCAAGACAAGACTTGACCAACACTGGAGCAGGTTCAGGTACATTCAGGAGCCAGTGCATGCCCAGTACTTGCTAACAGTGCGTGATAGAGACGTGACCGATCGCCCAAGCCGATCAGTGGTGAAAAGGATAAAAGTACAAGTATAGTGTACAGTAGTATAGTGTACAGTAGTGTAATGTACAGTAGTGTAGTGTACAGTAGTGTAGTGTATGTAGTGTAGTGTACAGTGGTGTAGTGTAAAGACAAGAGAACAAATGCCGGTATTCCTGCTGACACCAACTGTAGGAGCATCGAGGCTACCATTATCCATGAACAACTACGCTGGACTGGCCATGTTACCCGCATGGACGACAGTAGACTGCCAAAGCAGCTACTTTACAGTCACCTAATGAATAGTAAGTGTAACGCTGGCTGGCAACTGAAAGGGTATAAGGATAGTCTTAAGACAAACCTGAAAAAGAGCCAAATCGACCCCCTCACCTGGGAGACGATTACTCCACACCGTAACGCTTGGAGAGCGCCACAAAAGGTGTCAATACTTTCGAATTAGCCCGACTTCAAACCGAGGCAGACAAGCGTCAACGTCGGAAAGACGCTGTCACCGCCCCTCCCAAACTAGATGTAGTCCTCCACATGTGCAACATCTGTGATCGACCCTGCCGGTCCCTTATCAGTCACCTCAAAACTCACCAACTAAGGTGACATCCTTAATAAATCATACCATTGTATCATAGCTGGATGATCGTCATACTAGATCCCGAGTGACAGCAAAGTAGTAGTGTGAGTGAGCTTTACCACCCACGGCTTCTCTGTTTACATACACAGCAAGTTGGTGTGGAGAACAACCTCTGTCATCATTCGCTCACTCAGCAGTTACTGTCAACAATGGTCCCCTAACACTGAGTGTACCTGCCTGTCTCCACGTGCTGTGGCGGGGGGGGGTTAGTACACTGTGTCTGGTGTGTAGGCGGGAGGGGGTATCTCAGAGGTGTGTTATGGGTGGTGGTGGATGGTTGTGTGGTTGTGGGGGTGATAGCCGCTAACATACGCTGGAGGGCTATTATGGGTGGTGGTGATGGTTGTGGTTGGGGGTGATAGCCGCCAACATACGCTGGAGGGCTATTTGGGTGGTGGTGGATGGTTGTGTGGTTGTGGGGGTGATAGCCGCTAACATACGCTGGAGGGCTTATGGGTGGTGGTGGATGGTTGTGTGGTTGGGGGGTGATAGCCGCTAACATACACTGGAGGGCTATTATGGGTGGTGGTGGATGGTTGTGTGGTTGTGGGGTGATAGCCGCTAACACACTGGAGGGCTATTATGGGTGGTGGTGATGGTTGTGTGGTTGTGGGGGTGATAGCCGCTAACACACTGGAGGGCTATTATGGGTGGTGGTGGATGGTTGTGTGGTTGTGGGGGTGATAGCCGCTAACATACACTGGAGGGCTATTATGGGTGGTGGTGGATGGTTGTGTGGTTGTGGGGGTGATAGCCGCTAACATACACTGGAGGGTTATTATGGGTGGTGGTGGATGGTTGTGTGGTTGTGGGGGTGATAGCCGCTAACATACACTGGAGGGTTATTATGGGTGGTGGTGGATGGTTGTGTGGTTGTGGGGGTGATAGCCGCTAACATACACTGGAGGGCTATTATGGGTGGTGGTGGATGGTTGTGAGGTTGTGGGGGTGATAGCCGCTAACATACACTGGAGGGTTATTATGGGTGGTGGTGGTGGATGGTTGTGAGGTTGTGGGGGTGATAGCCGCTAACATACACTGGAGGGTTATTATGGGTGGTGGTGGATGGTTGTGTGGTTGTGGGGGTGATAGCCGCTAACATACACTGGAAGGTTATTATGGGCAATACTTGGTAAAGGAAGGCTCTATATAAAGGTGATTGTGGTTGGTGGATCTGTTTCACTGTCAGGATAAATATTAAACAATCCAACTCGACTACAACGAGGACTGCCACAAGATTCTTCGATCAAATTTTCTTCATTATTTAAGCAAATATAAGAACATTTGGACACTTCTTATGACCTTCAATAACAATGAATAGTTTATAATTATAATAATTGTACCTTTAGAGTGTTTAATATTTATCCTGACAGTAATACAGCCGAAACAGATTCACCAACCACAATCACCTTTACATAGAGCCTTCCTTTACCAAGTATTGCCAGGTAACATTGCGAGCATGAGATCAATGGTGGGGTTGGTGGCTCTCTGTACATTACAGGAAACAGATACTAACTTAACCTTAGCGATAATCCTGCCAGACGAAAAAATACTTTACTATTTCTACTGTATCTGTTAATAATTATTATGATATTTATTGTTATTTGGTTTATTTAATTCAATATTTTCTGTGCACATAAGTTTGTTTCATTTGGTTCTTAATAAAATGTTCGTCTGTATGAGTGTTTACACATCACGTCTGGTAAGTGTGTCAGCCAATCACAAGCCGCCGACCCACTGATAAATATTGTACCTATTGTCTCTGTGTATGACACCATGGGGCCAGGCAAGGAGAAGTGTATGTAATAATAATAATTATAATAATAATAATAATAATAATAATAAACGGTTTTTTAATTGATTTGAAGCCGGTGGCTGAAAATATACAGACTTACATTTGATTTAGACATAATGATATGCGTTGAATACATTTACAGGGCTGTATGTACAGTATGTATGTATGTATGTATGTATGTATGTGTGTGTGTACGTACAGTATGTATATATGTGTATGTATTTTTGTATGTATGTATGTATGTATGTATGTATGTATGTACAGTATGTATGTATGTATTTACTGTATGTATGTATGTATGTATGTACTGTATGTGTGTATGTACAGTATGTATGTATGTACGCATGTATGTTTGTTTGTATGTATGTACGTACAGTATGTATGTATGTATATATGTATGTACAGTATGTATGTATACTGTATATGTATGTATGTACAGTATGTATGTATGTACAGTATGTATGTATGTACTGTATGTATGTATGTATGTATGTATGTACAGTATGTGTGTATGTATGTATCATTGTCCTCATTCTGATAACCATTGTCGTTATCATTATCATCATCAATATCACCACCACCACTACTACCACCTCCACCACCACCACCCCCACCCACCACCCCACCACCACCACACACCACCCCACCATTCCACCACCCCCCCACCACTACCACTCTGACTCCACCCCACCACCACCACCTCCCCCCTCCCACCACCACACCGCCCCCACACCACCCACCACCCCACCACCAACCACACCACTACCACTACCACCTCCACCCCCACCACCACCACCACCACCACCACCACCACCACCACCTTCACCACCCCCACCACCACTACCACCTCCACCCCCACCACCCCCACCATCAACAATACAGTAACAGGTATATGTGACCATTACAGGGAAGCAGATTGAAGGTATCTGGCACACTGGCGTCGTGGCCTACGGGAGGGAGTACTTCTTCGGCTCTGGCGGTATAGAGTCTTGCCGACCG